GGTTTTAATTTGTAAAAAAGAAGAGGCAATTTTATTTTGAAAGAAAATACATGGAAAAAATAAGTAGCCTAATTAAGCGAAATTTTTAATTCAAATCCCATGGTAATTATTCTTCTTGCATCATTGCAATATACATACAATGATATAATAATTCTTTATTCATCCCCGGGACACATATTTTTACATAATTTGGAACTTTTGATAACTCTATTTTATCATTATCATTACTTATGTAAAGTGGTTTTACTTACGTCAAATGGTTTTACTTACGTCAAGGGATTTTACTTTTGTCAAAATGGCCCTGGTGAGAAACCACCTTTAGTCATAGTTTAGTTACTTCAATGACTAAAGTCAAAAGTTTGGTCATACATCATTAGCTCGCAATGTTAATTTAATATAGTTATTGATTTTGAATGAATTGAAATTATCTTTTTGAATTCCTCTGACGAATTTAGATATTGCTTATATGAATAGTTCTTTAATTAGTTGAGCCAGACCACATAATTTGCCAATCTATTGAAAAATTCAGAAACTATAAAATCTAGTTTATGAATATTTTGAAAGTAACTATGAAATACATCACAATCAATCATCCAATTATAGTCTAAATGAGCAAGTATCCATATCAGCCGACTTGGATTTTTGGGCCTTTTTTCAAACCTTGTGTCTGTTTTATTGTGTCTCGATGTTAAACACGAGTATTTTTAATGTGCAAACTGATCGATAATTAACCCTAAAAAAAATTATTTGCTCCGCTAAAAAACTATTTTACTATTCAACAACCCGTCAAACCAATGAGCCCACCTCAAAACCAATGGGTCCTTGCTAATATAAAGTATTCATAATGTTATGATCATACCGTACTGAATTTTGGGGGTCAAACAAAATCAGCGCATATGATCAAATAAAATAATAATATAATTGAGAAATGCTAAAGATGAGTATGTTAACGAACATATTATATTCATTTATTTTGAAGAAAAAAGAAAGATATTACAGAAAAAACTCGTGATTTTTTAAATTATGATTTAAACGTTCTTTATATACAACAATATAGAATTCAACGAGCTAGGATCTTTAATGCAGAATATTTTACTAAAAGGTCATCAGAAACATAGATAATATCTTGAGAAGCCCTCTCTCTCTTAATTTTTTATACTTGGCGACGTCATCAAAATTTCCATGATCTTGGAGGCTTTTCCAGCTTGATATATAGATCTATTAGTTTTTGCAAACTATCATTAACCTTTTCGATATTGTCATATTTTTATTTCTTTGATAATTTATTATTATTATTGTCATTATCTGTTGTCATCATAATTATTGATTATATTAATGTCATTATTGTTGTTGTAATTTTGATCTTCGTTTCAGGAATCTATTCTTGCAATTTCATTTTCGTTTGGTTTTCAACTATTTCTACGTAAAAAGCTATTATTATTATATATATTAATATAAATTATAATATTAAGCAAACAGGCTTTTTTATTTTAAATGTTTCAAAAAAATAAAGCATTAGCTATTTACATCATTCTTAATTTCTAAGCTTTTGAAACTTGCTAGACGTTCATTATCGTTTAAATGTGCTGAATATTTGTTCTTATTCATGTCAAAAGTAATGCTCTTGAGTTTTTTGTTTGAAGATTTAAACAAGAATCTAATTAAATTGGCGCATTGTTCTTCAAATTGCTGTTTATCCATTTTTCAAAATAAAAACAAAAGGTAATGTTTTTTCAAAATTCCATTGGGTAAAATTCATAAATAATTGGGACTTGGTATTTCTGAAAGATCGCAAGAAATGAATGGCCGGTCATGATTAGAGCTTACTAATAACGAGTAAAACAAATAATTCGAATAAAAACAGAAACCCCAATCAAGCAGTATAGTTGTATATAGTGATTTTAGTTTAGTTTTCCAGATTTGGTGACTCCATAATAAACAACTCTTGCAATACTTATATACGCCATAAATAATTATAGCATTACGGCCTATGACTTTTACGATATTAGTATTAGTGCAAAATTTATCTACGTAATTTGTTGTACATATATTTTTTTTGTGATACATTATTTATTTGTTTCAGAAATAATTTTTTTTATAACAAAATATATAATAAAAAACCACAATGGAAAACACTTTGGATGAAAATAAACATCATGATGAATATTCTGATAAAAGGAAAAATTATTTTGGGAGATGTCCGACTTGCAATAGATATAATACTCAATTGGCATGGTGTCAATCATGTGATCCAAAGATATTAACCAAAGGATGGACTAGTGGCAATAAAACATTAGATGAGTTGATTAAAAGTACACAACTTGAAGCAACTAGTTATGATAATAATTATTATCTTCAATGGATTCCTTATAATGATTTAACAAATCTTGAAAAGATAGGTGAAGGTGGGTTTGCAATTATATCTAAAGCTACTTGGTTAAATGGTAAGAAATGTGTAAATGATGATAATGAAAAAACTAGCAAGGATATGCCAGTGGCATTAAAAAAATCAAGTAGTTTGCGGAACATTTCTGATGAATTACTTAATGAGGTAAATTATTTTATTTTTCTATTTATTTTCTGATTTTTTAAACATTATTTTTAAATATTTTTTTATATATATAGCTTAGAAATTATGTTACATTTTATGGTGAATCATTTATAAATAAAACTTATGGATTAACACAAGATCCAGCTACAAAAGAATATATCGTTGTAATGGATTATATAGAAGATGGAAGTCTTCAAAATTATGAAGGTCCATATAAAAGATATGAAAAGTATGGGAGATGTCCAACATGCAAAAGATATAATACTTATTATTCATGGTGTCAATCATGCAATCCAAAGCTATTAACTGAAGGATGGACTAGTGGCAATAAAACATTAGATGAATTGATTAAAAGCACACAACTTAAAGCAACTAAGTATCACTATAGTAATCATCTTCAATGGATTCCTTATAATGATTTAACAAATATCAAAAAGATAAATGAAGGTGAGTTTGCAACTATATCCAAAGCTACTTGGCTAAATGGTTATAAAAGTGTAGATTATTGTAATAATGAAAGAACTAGTAAAGATATGCCTGTGGCATTAAAAAACTTACATAATTCACAGAATATTTCTGATGAGTTTCATAACGAGGTAAATTATTTTATTGATACTAGTTTTAAAATATTATTGATTATTATTATAATTAAATATTTTATTTGTTATTTTAGCTTGAAAATTATACAAAGTTTCATGATAAAATTTATATTTATGGATTAACACAAGATCCAGATACAAAAGAATATATCTCTGTAATGCATTACATGGAAGATGGAAGTCTTCAAAATGATAAACATTTAAAGAAAAGGGATGAAAAGTATGGCGAATGTCCAACCTGCAATAGATATAATACTAATAGTTTATGGTGTCAATCATGTGATCCAAAGCTATTAACTGAAGGATGGACTAGTGGCAATGAAATATTAGACGAGTTGATTAAAAGTACACAATTTAAAGCAACATTTTATGATAATAATTATTATCTTCAATGGATTCCTTATAATGATTTAAGAAATCTTGAAAAGATACATAAAGGTGGGTTTGCAACTATATCCAAAGCCACTTGGTTAAATGGCAAGAAAAGTCTAAATGATGATAATAATAAAAGAATTAGTGAAGACAGAACTGTGGCATTAAAAAAATTACATAATTCACAGAATATTTCTGATGAGTTTCTTAATGAGGTAAATTATTTTATTTTTCTATTTATTTTCTGATTTTTTAAATATTATTTTTAAATATTTTTTTATATAGCTTAGAAATTATGTTACATTTTATGGTGAATCATTTATAAATAAAACTTATGGATTAACACAAGATCCAG